GAGAGAGAGAGAGAGAGAGAGAGAGAGAGAGAGAGAGAGAAGGGTGTGTGTGTGAAAGAAAACAAAGCCTTCCACACAAGAGCGATTACAAAATAACATGAAAACGCTTTCAAAAATAATAAAAATTAAGAAATACTTGAAGAAGGGTGACGATATGCAACATTGACAGTCGTAATCTGCCTAAAGCACGTAATTGCTCAAATCAGCAAGACTGTGCCTCAAATGACACCAGATTAGGCCATAAAACGTCTTAACGTCGTCACAGGCTGAACACGTGGTGAAGGCGACGAGACGAAAAGCTGGGTGGTGAGGATATTCTTGGTATCCTACTTAAACTCGCAATGACAATGGACATAAATCAGGGGCGAAAACAGAAGCAGCAACGTCGTGGATTTATGGGACGGGGGCCGGAGCTGGGCGGGACAAATTACTGCTTCCCGCAAGGGTCCGCTGCGGATCGCTTGCGCGCAGGTGACGGCTTCGCATTCCGTCGTGCGGGGCTCACAATGGCTCAACGTTTGTCTCACATGCTTAACACTTTCCAAAGACGACACCACTAGTCTGGGAGCTTCGTTAGGACCCTTTTCTACAAATTAGCCCATCCTTAGTCCGTAGTAGCTTCAGAGATGCTGGGTGACAAACGTTTCTCTTCGTTCAGGCCCAAAAACAAACATGGTATGAACGCCTCCCCATGTTTCCATTCAACTTCAATGGAGTTAACACTTCAACGCAATATCTAGGGTATCATGTTCTTCTCCATGCAGTATCGTAACTTCACGAGGATTACTGAAAGCAGTGGCTCATGTATCTCACACAGCGGATTACTCTTCTTCTGTCATTTTTTGTACCCTTGGGTAATTATGAACAAAAGAAAAAAACGGAGCACTAATAAAACACAAACCATCGCTTCTCTCTCCTCCATATCTCATCCGCACAATATCAGGGGGGAAAAAAGATGCGCAATTGAGTGGGGGAGAAGGAGCGGAGGGGTAATCTTACATAGGAGAATACAGCAGCGACCCAAGGAAGGTTAGGTTTACCCGAGAACACAAGCGGCTAGATAGAGACGGTAATCAGATCAACGCTACCCGACAGCAGGACTCATCTTGAACCGTATCGCGTTCATTCTTCAAAGGTGGTCCGACAATGCTTTGTTCCAGACGCCACAATTCACCCCCCTGCAAGCGGTGCAGAGTTCCACACAAAAGGACATCGGTAGTAAAGCAGAACTGATAAAACACGCCGTTAATCGAGTGACGTCACAAGAACAAGTTCTATACTATGTCCCTCAGCGCAGCCCACCATAGGAGACGGCACTCGCGTCACCAGTGCTACATAAAATTAAAAACGGATTTAAAATGTTTCGTTTGGGCGGGTCTTAGCAGAGTATAGTTCTATGTACAAACCTTATGATAACCAAACTAGGCATACACTTGGCATAATATTGTGCAAGCTAATTGTATATAAAAATAATGAAATACGGCCATGACCTTATGCGCATTGTAAAACTTTTACCAATCCAACTATTGTGCAAGGGTAAGGCTCCTTAGAAAACCAACGGACAATAGCGAGTGCACCGACTTCGAAATGACAACAATTGAAGTTAATTGTATGTTCATCTCCAACAATAAAAAATGCATACTACAACACAGACGCTGCAGTGCTTACAGCGCTAAAGTGCTTACAGCGCTAAAGTGCTTACAGCGTTGACGATCTTAACGCGTCTGGCGTTTTCTCGGCAATATCTATTTCTGACGGATTAAACGCTCAATTCAAGCATTCATTTGGAAAGGGGGGGGGGGTACGGCTTGGAACATTATCCTGGCTTCATATATTCTGGACAGCAAGACGAAAAGTAATAGACGCGGGGAACAAAATCATAAAATCTACAACAGCTGAAAAAAAGTGAAATGCAAAACAGAAACGGGAAAAAAACGTACACAAATAAAACAAGACCAGCAGCGTTGATTCCATCGCAGCTGAAATCATAAATTCTGGTGACGACACAGGCTGTAAACTCAAGGTCACACCCGGGGCTAAGCCTACGCCGCCTGCACCCGTCGCAGGACCCGCAAATCCAGGAGCTCTGCCAGGTATCGGGGCCGGCAGACAATTCGCACACGCCACAGACACCGGGTAATCTGTGCCAATCTGCACAGCTTGGGCGGCAGCTTCCAAACTATTATTCCAAACTGATCAGGATCGCTGAAATTTCCTTGGCCACGAGGCGGGAAGCTCTGACGCAGTATTTCAGCACAAACAGAACGGCCGCTGCTGTCGCACGCGCCTTGAGAGAAGCGCCAGGTTATTTTAAGTTTTAGTAAGAGTTTTACGGCACTTGCAACATAATAAGGTCACACAAGTGCTTAAGATTAGAGGTGAAACTAGAGAGAAACAAACACAAAAAAGAAGCAAGGAGAATAGGGATGACAGATGTTTGACTTTGATAGAAAAGAAGGAGCAATCGACACCAGAGCACCCGCTTACTACCCACGAGCATCGTCAGAGGGCAAAAGTCGAACTAGTAGACGAGAGTATTACGGCTACCATCAGATGTAAGTGCTTTTACACCCTCATCCACACAATCTAATTAATTTAGGAGGCAGGCTTCCGACTCTCTGTCTGTCAGGGCCAACTACCCGGGCTGGGAGGGATACAACATCCCGGCAGAAAGACCTGGATACTCGACAGAAATTTCTCCCCACTCGGGAATACACACCAGTTACAACATAATTATGCGAAAAGACAATATTATCTTAATAACAGACACGCACGATTATACAATGGTGATAATTTATATTGCAGGGGAAGAAACAGGACAGTCACACACACACACAAAAATAATGGACATAATAAGTAACAGATAGACAGAAAGTAAGACCTTCGTGTGATGCCGTTCAAGTTAACTAAACGGACAATATAACGCAAAAATGGTGTGAACTTGGTGAAATGGCATAGGTTTAACACCCGTATCAACATTGTCACAGTATTTAAAAGGCGGGGCTTCTGATCAGTTTAAGAGTCCATCTGGGCAAGGACACAAGGTTGGACCTTGCTGAACCCGCCGCTAGGCTACCGACGCCACCCCACAAAAATGCAAAGACTGACATAAAATGCTGACCTTAAGAAGGGGGCCAAAAGAATTCATCGTAGATTAAAGATAGAGGCATACGTACATACTTTATTCAAACCAATCCATATCTACCCGTTCAAACACTTAGGTCAAAGATTGAGGAATTAAAAATTATATTTGTAAAATTCAGTAAGCTATACGAAGGGAGTGAGAAACGAAATGAACTAGAGAGGGGCTATAACGTCAAGTACTGACGTGAACAAAGCAGTAAAAGAAACCGTAATATTGAGTTCAACAAATATCTCATCATTACGCAATATACTCATATTTCGGCACACACTTCACTGAGCTTCCCATTTTGTTGGTAGCTCAAACTATCGGGCACCCGTCCATGCGGTTCACACCTACAAATCCCATCCCACCCGAACATAAACCAAAAACAAAAAAGAAGAAAGAAAAATCAACAGAACCCAAACAATAAGAGTAAAAAACTAACCCAACTCACAAGCTGTTCCCCCTTTTTTCTACACCCAACTTCTTTCCCCCCTCTCCTTAGCGTATTATCTAAATGTCTTCCACCCGGTCGCACACTCGCCTCGGTGTCTGTTTACAACCAAACCGCCAAAGCCG